AGCTTCACCACTCTGTACTCCTAAATGGAAGTCACCACCCCAGCTTCCCTGCACTGTACTCCTAAATGGAAGTCACCACCCCAGCTTCACCACACTGTGCTCCTAAATAGAAGTCACCACCCCAGCTTCCCTGCACTGTATTCCTAAATGGAAATCACCACCCCAGCTTCACCACTCTGTACTCCTAATCAGAAGTCAGCCATCCCAGCTTCATTGCACTATACACCTAACCATCTGCACTGCACTATACTCCTAAACGGAAGTCCACCACCCCAGATGGTGCAGAAGAAATTTCCTCCATGCTGAGGGAATATCCATTGTCTTCCACTGTTTAAGAGTTGTATAAACAGGCCCTTCCTGAGGGATTTTTTCTTTTTTTTTTGGAGACGGAATCTTGCCCTGTCGCCAGGTTGAAGTGCAGTAGTGCAATCTCGGCTCACTGCAACCTCCGACTCCCTTCCTGAGGGACTTTCCTGGGTGGTTTCAACTATACATGTTCCCTTATATAATTTTAAGAATTTTGAAAAAGAACTCCCCTACGCCCTCGTTGCAGCACCAGTCACCTCACACAGGGTCCTCTTCAAGACTCTGTGTGCCACTGGTGTCTGCTCATGAAGTCTCCCTAGAACAGAAAACTGGCCACGCGGCTCACTGTCTACACCGTGCAAAGGCCCCCTGACCTCCTCTCTCCACACTCCCCCACTCTCATCACCCTAACCCAGTCAGTCCTCAGAGTCACCATGCCCTCTCATTGCCAGTCGTCTGCATGTCCTAGTTGTTTGCTCTTGCACAATTTATATTCAAAAAGTTTGAAAATCCCTTCTGAGATTCTAATTCAATTTCCACTCAAGAGCACTGCATCTCTTTGAAATCTCTGAGTCCATTCTGAGCTGTGGGCAATGCAGTACTGGGGAAAAATGGAGTTCCCAGGTGCTGTCTACTCAGTCCACATAACCGGTGTAACCTGAGTCTCTGCACCTTCATGAAAACAGTGGCCAGAAGCTCATTCTCTCTGCATATTCAGACTGGGCACAGCCATCAGAATGGGTAATTCTGTGAGCTCCTAGGGGGTCCATCGTTTGGGCCTCTTAGACTCTCTTAAACCAAGAAGCCTTTACCTGATGTGCCAGTTCAGTAAATGTCTTCAATCCACCTTGATGGCTTAGCCTTAAATCTTTCCACCTGGTTCACTCCCCTTTAACTATTCCATCAATACACAGTTAAGGACATATATCTGAAGGAAATTTACCATTCTCATCACTTCCTCGACCACATCATGCAACAAAATGACTTGCAGAATTCAAAGCACAACATATGTAATACAATGTTTTCTTATGTTTTTAATAATAAACTACTGGTTTTGCACATTCATGGCAGGTACCCATTTTTAGCAAATAGCCTTTTCCATGTTCACACCAAACCCCTCCAATTCCATCCTGGCAAGTGGTTACATTTTACTATATCACATATGCCAGCTAAATCAGAAAAAAAATTCCCCTTTAATAAAAATGTCCTGTGCGCTGTGTCCTAGTGGTCCATATTTGCTCCACATGCCTAAGATTAGATGTCCCTCTAAGTAAAGCAAGAAGAACGCCTGGCACAGTAAGTTGAAGTAGACAGAAGGAAGCAGCTGGGCTCACTGCCTGCTCCTAAAATCCTCTCCAACAGGTAGTTTATGTGATATGCTAGAGAAGGAAAAATGCCCAATCTGACAGGGGGAGTCTGTGATTTGTTTTGGCTGTAAAGACAAAGCCACTCACACACAGTCACTTTCTTGGCTCCATGTGTTCCACGTAAACCACTGGGAGCCAGGCATGGTAGCTCATGCCTGCCATCTAAACACTTTGGGAGGCTGAGATGGGAGGATCACTTAAGCCCAGGAGTTTGAGGCCAGCCCGGGCAACACAGCAAGACCCCGTCTCCACAAAAATTTTTTAAAACTTAGCCAGGCTAGTGGCTTCTGCCTGTGGTCCCAGCTACTCAAGAGGGTGAGGTGGGAGGATCAATTGAGCCCGGAGTCCAAGCCTGCAGCAAGCTAGAACTGTGCCACTGAACTCCAGCCTGGACAAGACAGCAAGATCCCATTTCTAGAAAAATAAAATACAAAGCAAAACAGTAAAATAAAATAAACCACTGAGGATGTACAGAGTGAAAACACAGAGTGGCCTATGAAATGCAGTAGCCATACGTGGCAATTTCAGTTGTGAAGACACAGCCAGGGAAAAAAGATCAAAGACTGGCTTTAATATACATTGAATATATATTGGTTATAGAGTTACTCCATATTTAATAGTTATTCCATTAACAGCCTCATAGTTAAAATATTTCTTATACCAGATAATTTTTAAAAACACTTCATGTTCTAACATTAGAAAGAATTTTATAATTGGATCTGGGACCATTTGACAATGTACTTGTAGGGAAAATTAAAAAAAAAACCTAAATTATGTAGGTTTACAATGCAGCTTATGTTACATGAAACTGCTCTCTATAAAGCAAGCATTCTGTACGTGCAATTAACTTTAACTTGAAAAAAACATCTCATGGAAGAAAACATGTAATGTTGAGTAGAACCATTGGAGAACCAAGAGATATTTCTTCTCGTTTACCTGTGATCTTTTATCTCATTTGAACAAAATCAATTAAGTATCATAATTAGGGCCCAGAACTCAGTTCAGTTTTATTTTACAGTAACATTTAAACTCTAGAAAAAAATGACGTCTTGACCTGCTTCCTCTGCTATAAGCGGCAATAATTACAATCATCTTGCCATGTCTCAAGGACGGAAGTAGGCAGTTGGTCTACCCAAATCCATTCCTCCTTCTATTGTCCTTGCTTTTGGAGGCCTGTTTAGTTCCTTACCCTCCTCCAGGGTTCAGGTCATCAGACATGTTCTCCCTATCCCCTGCTCCAAGGAGAAAGTCTTGATGAATCTAAGCCAAAGTAATTCCATTCCTCTTGCTCTAACCAGGTTAGGCATAGGCAGATGGGGCAAATCTGCAGGGAAGGTTTCTGGGAAGCGATGTGCAAGGAAAACCTTCTACCTCTGTAAGGAAATATCCAAAGAGATGATCTAGGAATTAAGCGGCCATCCTGGGGCCCAGGGGAACAAATAAAAGAGCTCAAGCTAATGCCCTAGGCTGCATGCTCAGTTCCATTGCTGAGCTGCCAAAATAACCAGTCCTGGAACTGCCTCACCTTGGCTTTCTGTTTGGTAAGATAACAAGCCCCTTTTTGTTCTGAACACTGTTTTGTTCTGTTCTGTTCTGTGTTTTGTTTTGTGTGTTTTGTTTTGTTTTGTTTTGTTTTGTTTTGTTTGTTTTGTTTTTGAGACAGAGTCTCGCTCTGTCACCCAGGCTAGAATGCAGTGGCACGATTTCGGCTCACTGCAACCTCTGCCTCCCGGGTTCAAATGATTCTCTGCCTCGGCCTCCCGAGTAGCTGGGATTACAGGCACCTGCACCACGCCCAGCTAATTTTTGTATTTTCAGTAGAGACGGGGTTTCACCATATTGGCCAGGCTAGTCTCAAACCCCTGACCTCATGATCCACCCGCTTCAGCCTCCCAAAGTGCTGGAATTATAGGCATGAGCCACCACGCCCAGCCTGTTCTGAACATTTTTATTGAGCTTTCCACTATTTTCAAAAAAGCAGCCTGATTCATGCACATATCTTTAGAACAAATTTAAAATGCCCTAGAAAAGAATAATCTTCAGTTTAAAATCTAAGCAATCTGGAATTTACAGGACTATGTTCCTCTTAGTTCGAGTTACTCACCATTAAAAAATAATGGTCCTCAGGTTCAGCTCGAAGATATTTAAAAACCACTTGCTCCATGAACCTTTCCATTAGATCCCAGTCTTCAATGATTCCATGTCTTATTGGCCACTGGAGGATGAGAAACCAGAGTTGTCAGGCCTCAGTTCATGACAATAAAAGCAACTGTTTAACAGTGGCACAGAAGAAACTGCAATATTACAGAATAAAGGTCTCCTTCTTGTTGCAGTTTTTGTTACTTCTTATAAAGAAACAACAGCATTAAAAAAAAAAAGATTAAGTTACATTATTGCTCATATTCTCCTCCACTCATTTCTATTTCTACAAACAAAGAATCACCCTAACAATAAGGTGGGGACACGCCAGGCATGTTGGCTCACGCCTCTAATCCAACACTTTGGGAAGCCAAGGCAGGAGTATCACTCAAGCCCAGGAGTTTGAGAACAGCCTGGGCAACATGGCAAGACCCTGACTCTACAAAAAATCACAAAATTAGCCAACTACGGTGGTGTGTGCCTGTAGTCCTATCTACTTGGGAAATTGAGGTGAGAGGTTGAGGCTGCAGTAAGCCAAGACAGCACCACAGCTCCAGCCTGGGTGACAAAGTAAGACCTATCACTAAAACAACCACCAAAAAAAAAAGAGAGAGAGAAACAGAAAACTGCAGCTAATTACCATAAAACTGGATCTGGAGCTTAAAAAAAAAAAATGTCTGACAAGTTAGTCAACCTGCAATTTTCCAGTGGAGGGGATCTTGCTTTCACGTGTGACCTGGTGTTTCCTGAGTCTATTCTGCATTCCAGGGATCTGTTAATTCCCTTCATTCTCCAATCAAAAATACCCCTCTTCAAAAACAACCACCAGCACCACCTCTATTCAAACATAAGAATATAAACACATTCCGCCTGGGCATGGTGGCTCACACCTGCAATCCCAGCACTTTAGGAGGCCAAGGCGGGTGGATCACAAGGTCAAGAGGTCGAGATCAACCTGGGCAACATAGTGAAACCCCGTCTCTACTAAAAATACAAAAATTAGCTGGGCATGGTGGCATGTGCCTGTAATCCCAGCTACTCGGGAGGCTGAGGCAGGAGAATCACTTGAACCAGGGAGTCGGAGGTTTCAGTGAGCCGAGAATACGCCACTATACTGCACTCCAGCCTGGCGATAGAGACTCCAACTCAAAAAAAAAAGAACATAAATACATTCCATGACTCACAAACCCAACTTCTAGATGACTATTTTGCATTAATCATCCTGCCGCTCTACATTAGAGAAGCAAATTCCTGTCCAAAGTTTACCTTTGTAGCATACGTAGGTTTATCGATGGCTTCATCTCCAATGAAAAAGTCAAGGTCATCAACTCCCCTCAACACTCTCCTTTGGGCTTGGTCAACTACCTTTGCTGACTCTCTGATGGCAATACCTTAAAAAAAACATACACAGATTTCTATCACTACCCATATCTATTTAAATGATCAAAAGGGACAATATCGCTACATACATACAAGTAAAGTTCCATTGTTAGGGTTCCATGTGGAGTCAAGGGTGCTCACAGAAATGACAATGTCAACGAGCACATTAAATAATACAGAGACTAATACAGAAACAGGCTGTTCTATTCTGGTATGATTTTCAGAATGTACAAAGGAACTAAGCTTCTCTGCTTTTATGTTGACAGAAGCTACATTACTAAATTTCTCAGTTTTATCTGGAAAAATCCCTCAAGATTGTAAGTGAAATGTCTATACATCAGTAGCTTCCAAATTTAAAATACAATGTAGAAGGGGAGGAAATTCTGTATAATACAGAAGAGGAGAGTAAACTGAAAAATAGTGTCTACAATAAAACTCTACATCACATAGCCTTCAAACGTATTTTTAGTTTTGTTACGGGGGGAAAAGAGCCACAACTTCCCATTAAAAGGATAAATTAGAATGTTATTGGTTAATATCCGTAACCCAAAAAAAGGACCATAATCAAATAACTATTATATTAAAATTCCAAATATTAATGGCTTCATAATACATTAATAAGATCTTAACCTTAAATATTTGAGGATACATTTAATAGTAAATACTCATATCAAACTTCATTCCAGAATTTAACATCTAATGAAATGTGGAAGGCATCACAAAGATTCCATTTTTCACTTAAATTCATAATCCCTGGTCACACTCTGAGCTCTCCCAAGAGCTTATTTTCATCCATCAGGTCTCTACATAAACACCATCTCATCCCTTGAAGGCTTCCTTGACAACCTGTAGTTCTGCACATGTGTTTGATGCTTCCACTGGCCCTTCTATACTTACATCATGGCATTTTTCAGGATGAATTACAATTGTTAAAGATTAGTCTACCAAACTAGACTGTAGATCCCTTGCAGTAAGATAACATACATCTTTTACTGTTTCTCCAGTGGGAGGCTCGGATGTCATTAACAATAATAATTTACATTTACTGAACACTCTGCTGCTAAGTGTTTCCTTTTGCACGCTATTTTATGTAAGCCTCATAGTAGCTTTCAAAACAGGTACAATTATCTGCATTTTACAGAAATGGAAGCCTAACAATCTATCAAGGTCACACAGCTTCTAAAAGACACAGATAGGATTTGCACCTACGCAGGTTCCTATCACAATAGGCACTAGAGAAACATTTGTTAAATTAACATTCTACTCCACTAAAATATTTATTGTGGGTTTGAGAAATGGTAAAACTATACCTAAATAGTTCTAACATAAACCTAATTCCATAAATATACTAATGACATCTACTACCTTTAATGTATTTCTGATGAAAGAACAGCTCTCTAGCTATACATATATAAGTGCTAGATAAAGTTTCTCTGAATTAAAACATCAAAATATTTGTGACTTACTACCTAAAGTGATGTACAGAGTCAGTACGATCCTTACCAAAATACCAATGGCAACCTTCACAGAAATAGAAAAAATAATCCTAAGTTCATATGGAACCACCACAAGATACCCCAAATAATCAAGGGAATCTTTAGCAAAAAGAACAAAGCTGAAGGGATCACACTACTTGACTTCAAAGTACACTACAAACCTACAGCAATCAAAACAGCATGGTACTGGTATAAAAACAGACATGTAAACCAATGGAACAAAGAGCCCAGAAATGAATCCATGTATTTATATTCAACTGATTTTACACAATGGCAAAGTATAAATAAGTGGTATTGGAGAAAAACTTGATATCCACATGTAGAAGAATGAAAGTGAATGCTTCTCTCTCAACCATATACAAAAATTAACTCAAAATGGATTAAGACTTATTCAATGTAAGACCTGAAACTGTTGAACTAGTAGAAAAAAATGGGAAAATGCTTCATAACATTGGTCTGGGCAAGGATTTTTTTGGACAAGACCTTAGGAACACAGGTCACAAAAACAGACAACTGGAATTATCAAACTAAAAATCTTCTGCACAGCAAAGAAAACAATCAACAGAGTGAAGACACAATCTATAGAATGTGAAACTATTTCCAAACTACCTGACAGATTAATAACCAAAATATATAAAGAACTCAAACAGCAATTAAAAAAATAACCCAAGTGAAAAATGAAAAATGAACAAGAGCCCTGAATGGGCATTTCTCAAAAGAAGACATACAAGTGGCCAACAGGTGTATGAAAAAAATGCTCAACATCACTAGTCAACAGGGAAATGCAAATCAAACCCACAATGAGATATCAAACACCTCACCCCATTGAGAATGGCAATTATCAATAAAGCAAAAGATAATAAGTGCTGGGGACAAGGTGGCAAAAAGAGAATCTTTATACACTATTGGTGAGAATGCAAATTAGTACAGCCATTATGGAAAACAGTATAAACGTTCCTCAAACAATTAAAATCAGAACTACAATATGACCCAACAATCCCACTACTGGGCATATATCTAAATGAAATGAAATCAACATGTTGAAGAGCTGGCTGCACTCCCATGTTTACTGTAGCACTATTCACAATAACCAAGATATGGAATCAACCTAAGTGTCCATTAACAGATGAACAGATAAAGAAAATGTGGCTTTATACACAATGGAATACTATTCAGCCATTTCAAAAAAGGAAATTCCGCCATCTGCCCCCAACATGGATGAACCTGGACATTATGTTAAGTTAAATAGGCCAGGCACAGAAAGACAAATATCACGTGGTCTCATTCATATGTAGGATCTTAAAAAGTAGATCTCATAGGAGGTGAAGTGTAGAATGGTGATTATCAGAAACTGAGGCTATTAGGGGATGGAAAGGACAGGGAGATGCTGGTCAAAAAATAAATAACTACAGTCAGACAGGAAACATAAATTACAAGAGATCTAGTGTACAGTAAGGTGACAACAGTTAATGACGATATATTGCATTCTTACAAAATGTAAAGAGAGTATGCTATGTGCTTTCACCACAAAAATGATAACTATATAAGATAATGCATTTGTTAATTAGCTAGATTTAATCATTTTGTAATGTATATATACTTCAACACATCATATTACATATGATAAAAATATACAATGTTATCTGTATATTTAAAAAATTAAAGTCATAGCCAGCTATGGTGGCTCATGGCTCATGAATGTAATCCCAGAGACTCAGGAGGCTAAGGCAGGAGGATCACTCGAGCTCAGGAGTTTCAGAACAGCCTGGGCAAAATAGCAAGACCCCACCTCAAAAAATGCTAAAAAAAAATTAGCCAGGCACAATGGTACACAAGTCTGTAATCCCAGCTAATCAGAAGGATCACTTGAGCCCAAGAGGTTGAGGCTGCAGTGAGCTATGATCACCCCACTGCACTCCAGCCTGAGCAACAGAGTGAGACCCCATATCTAAAAAAAGTTTAAAGGTCTAAAATCTGTTTTTAATTAAAAATCTTTCTTAAATCCTTGTGACTGAATTTCAGGAGACAGTAAATAATGTTTCTAGGCTGGGCACAGAGGCTCACACCTGTAATTCCAGCACGTTGGGTGGCCAAGACAGGCAGATTGCTTGAGCCCAGGAGTTTGAGACTAGCCTGGGCAACACAGTGAAAACCTTTCTCTATACAAAAAAATACAAAACCTAGCCGGAAGTCCCAGCTACTTGGGAGCCTGAGACAAGGGGATTGGGAAGTTGTGACTGCAGTGAGCCATGATCACGCCACCATACTCCAGCCTGGGTGACAGAGCAAGACCTTGTCACTAACAAAACGTAACAAAATGTTTCTGAACTAATTTCTTCAAACAGTCCAGCCAAGTTAATTTTTCTACACAGCTACTTCATGAATGAGCACACAGACTTTGAAGTTCTGAAAACCTAGGTTTAAGCACTTACTTGCTAGCTGACTTGAGGAAAGTCATTATTAACACTCAGTGCTCTCTCCTCTAAAATGCATATACCACTACCTTCCAGGGTGGTGACATGGAACAATGTTTACAAAGTGTTCAGCAGAGAATATGCTACAGAGTAGTAGTCAATAAACAATGTTATCTATACCAAATTGGAGGCCAAATTTGTGACTGGCTGAACACTGAACAGGTACCCGGATACAACCATTCCAGAGAAGAACTGAGAAAAATATTATAAAAATGTTTATCCAGCAATTCCACTTCTAGAAATTCATTCTAAAGAAATAATCATTGAGAAAATAAAGGTATATATACAATAATACTCTTTCTAAAACTAATTGTAATAGCAATAAATTGAAGAGGGAAACTTAACTGACCTGAAATCAGAGATCAGATAAATTACATCAAATCCTTAGAAAGAGCTACTAAGGGCCAGGTACAGTGGCTCACGCCTGTAATCTCAGCACTTTGGGAGGCCAAGGTGGGCATATCATGAGGTGAAGAGATCTAGACCATCCTGGCCAACATGGTGAAATCCCCGTCTCTACTAAAACATACAAAAATTAGCTGGGCATGGTGACACATGCCTGTAGTCCCAGCTACTCAGAAGGCTGAGGCAGGAGAATTGCTTGAACCCGGGAGGGAGGTTACAGTGAGCCGAGATCTCGCCACTGCTCTCCAGCCTGGCGCCTGTCAACAGAGCAAGACTCTGTCTTAAAAAGAAAAAGAGCCGGGCGCAGTGGCTCACGCCTGTAATCCCAACACTTTGGGAGGCCGAGGCAGGCGGATCACCTGAGGTCGGAAGTTCAAGACCAGCCAGGCGAACATGGTGAAACCCTGCCTCTTAAAAAAAAAAAGAAAAAAAAAAACAGCTACTAAGTTGCCTTTCAGAATATGCACAGTGTAACTCCACTTCAGTAAATTTACCGAGTTACACGTGTGTGTTTAATGTAAATTCAGAAAAATAAGATGGCTAGCCAAAAGATTAATACTGGTTAACTGTGAGTGGTAGAACTACCAGTTGACTTTTTTCCAACTATTAAAAAAAAGATGAAAATAAAAGTAAAAG